TTCTAGTGAAATATTACACATTTCTGATAGGTAAATGGTAAAAAAAATGCTTTGGACAAACCATGTATGATATTTAGACTGAAAAATTTAATGAATTTTAATATAGTTGCCCGTCAACAGAGTTGCTTATGGCATCTTTCATGTTTTGAATGAAAACGTTACAAGTGAAATAGGAGAGTTCAAAAATAAATATGATATCCGGTTACAATTGTATCGTTTATTGCTCCTAATCTATTAAGGCAATGAATATTTCCAAATTAGAGTCAATTTAAGTAATCTATTTTAACGAATATAAATATATCTTATTATGACAGCAATTTAATACACTCTCTTACTCAATTAAATAAATGTTCATGATTATTTTTTCTGGTAAGCGTTTTTTTAGCGAGTTAGTTTTCTACAGGATGGGGACGCTAACCCCATGCCCAACCCTCCTCCTTTACCCGGGCTTGGGACCGGCAGTAACCCTATAAGAGCTACAGGCGGAGTTAAATGTTCATGATGAACAAATGTAATTATTTAATATTATAAAATTAAAAAAAATGAATTTTTAAGGTCAGTATAATTTGTTATTTAATACCAAGTTTTATTAACTCCGATCAATTTAATTGAATCTCATTAATCCTAATCACTTAATGGAAAATTTTTGTTTCTAACACTTTAAGGTCATTTAATTGATTTCGTTGTATGAGCCTATTTCTTGACACAGCAAAAAGATCTTTACAACAAGAAAGGATATGCATATTGTTGAAAAGGGTAACAATATAAAAACTTTAGATATTTATATTTTTTTTTAAAAAAAAAAGCATTAACATATTTATCTTTCAAATCCATTTAACTATTTATAAGAAAGTAAAACTTGAGGGAATATAATTGAAAATGTTTTTTTTTGTTGCTTATACAACTCGCTATAATAAATATTCATGTGTGTGTGTTTAAAACAGTTAAAATGAACACATATGATCACAATGTGATTAAAAAAAAAAAGAGCACATTATTTTTATGACTAGGTTTTGTCACTAATACTCATGTGTTGAATTTAATGTCTATTTACTAGGTCAACGAATATTCTGATTCTAGATTATTTGTATTTTATATTCTGAAGATTTTTTTATAAAATACAATATACCACTCACTGTCTTAGAATAACCTAGGATATAATCCTTCAGTCAGTATAGGTTTCATTATTAAGAATATCGCAACTTTGATGAAGTGAACATCAAATAAGCTGAAACATGGATAATATATTTTTGAAACCTTTCTCCTTTTAACTTGGGCTTTCTTAGTTGACTATATTTTCCACTACTACTCGAAATAATTCCGAAATCTTGAAGTAAAGAGTCTGTTACTGTAAAGTCATTGAGTTAAGATCCAATATGTTGTATCTTTTGCTAACTACAATCAGTTTGTGGTTTAGTACGACAGTATTTTTGTATTTCAGATGAACATGAATAACTTTAAAAATCCTAAATAGATCACCAAAACAATACGAACTCCTTCTTCAAAACAGATTATTAATGTATGGTGGATTCTTATTTTTCAATTTTGTATTCGACGGATGCGATAAACCTCGAATTAACATCCAGGTACTTCAGTAGATAGATATTAATTTTGAATTCCAACAGTAAAATAAATGTCTGTAAAAATAATATACACTGTGTAATTGGGTCTTAATTAAGAAACAAGAATTTATTTTGACCATTATATAAATGTTGCTAGTCTTTTCTATATTTTGACTTCATAAACGTACGTGTTAAATTATGAAATGTCATTCACACTTAATTGATTCCCTAAACAATTTTTCCGCGACGTCGTAATCTTTCTTTACTTGACAAATTAAGATCAAACAACAGAATAAGTGAAAAGTCGGTTGTTCTGGAAAACAATCTTGTGCAAAATGAACATTAGAATAAATTTATTGCAAAATATGAAAAGAACATCTTGAAAATCATAAATAACCTTTCAAGATACTTGTCTTTATCTTCTTCTGCTAAAGGGGGATGGTATTTCAAGAAGAATCGATGGGAGGATCATGGTAGCATTCATTAGAAGATTTACTGTGGCTCAACTAGTTTCACTATATAACACTAATTGTTCGTCATACCATTGAAGGGAGGTCAATACCTTTTCGAAATCATCTCCAACTGCACCTATGAATTTACATGTACCTGAGGTAGAAGGTATATGGGAAGAGTAGGTAGAATGGTTTCTAAATACGTTCCTAAGAATCTGCATACGAAAGTCAATAGTCTCAGGTATTTTTTGGGATGGTGGACATAAAGTGATGCATATAAAATACCTAGGAAATAACCAATAAAATTTTAACTCCGTTTAGAAAAGGTAATCGATAACTAACATTCCTAATTTGGCCTATGTATACGGAAGGAAAATGTGATTAGCCTTTTTCTGACATTTTGACTGAGCGCTAGTCAAATAATCTTTTAATTTCTTCTTAAACTTTTCTTTGACTTCCAATTTTTTATTTCTTACATAATCACATCCATATTCCCATGTTAATTTAACTGTTTCCAATCATGCGACCACCTACTAATTTCATTACGCTTACGCAATCCTTTTGCATCTTTCTTATGATTATTCGTAACTATAGCATTATACAGTCTACTCTAAATTCCCACTTTTCAACATACAAATACGCGCCAACCTTAGTTATATTTATTCATGTATTGTATGTAGTACTCTTATTATAATTTTTTATTTTCATTTCGGACAGTTATGTAAGCTTTACTAACATATATTAAACCTTTGTGTATGATCAAATTTTAGGCTATTTGCAGCTAACGAGAAGTTATGAAATGCGATAATTTCATTTTGTTCTGCAAACCTTGTTCTTGTTCAATATACAATAAGAACAAATTGTTCTAACGGCAACAAATAAAGTCTTGCCAATAAAGAACTTCGTATTGATAAAAGAACAAGAGATATTATTTACTTAGCAATTATCTCTCGAATTCCAGTACTTCTCTGAAGAATACACGATTATTTTCAGTAGACCGGCTATTTTGATTACATTTCAAGTACATCTAATAACCATTATCATCTTGAGCACAATTTAGACACTAATATCTACTTAGTGCGTCGAGAATTTATAATTGTAGTCAAAATGACACTTAACTAATTCAAAAGTAAAATTCACAATATGAACTTGATTACACAGTAAACTAGAACTTTCCCAAAAACATCCCTAAACCATCTAATGATAAGTAACTACTTGTTATTAATCTTTAGGGTATGTTAGCATGATTAATATTAGTCATTAGAAAGACAAAGATTACAACTTGAACACCAAAGTATTTCAATAATACGTTGATAATCATGCACACGTACAATACAAATTCTCATAAAATAATAATCCCTGAGCAAGTTTTTTTCATAAATTAAGACAGAAGTATATACCAAAAATAAGATTCAGGATACTTACATGCACACAGAAGCGTCCATATGATCGCTATATTTATATAAAAACAATGTAACTTGACATATGCAACCTAAATTACACTTCAATTAAATATAAATAAATCCATTTTTAAATCTTTAACCCCTAAATTATTGATCGAAGGCATAAACTCTTACCAAACTAATAATCTGTAAAGCACTATAGTATTTTAATTACTTCAAAAGCGAAGTTCATGCAGCATAAACTTAAGAAAAAATAGTTAATTTAAAGCAAGTAATTTCGGTGTTGAATTCGAGGAAAATATTTAGACAGTCGTTTTACAAAAATCAACGTTTATATTTTTTTAAAATTTTAATTGATGTTGAGTATATAACACCATGTTTGTTTAAACTCTTTTGGAAAACCAATCATCTTACTGTGATATTTTAATAGATCCTAGCAAAAATGGAAAACTAGGAACCATATCCTATACAACCTTGTTACAAGTATCCTACAGTTGTAGCTCACAAATTACCTGAGTGAAGGACAAACGACCACGATTGATCAATCCAATACTCGTATATATACTTTTTTTTGGAGCTAAGTTATTCGAAGGATATTTATTCACTTGTTTATAAGCACCCATACCCCTATATGGATCAACAAATATTACCTAAAATTAGGTGTAAATTTCTATGAATATGCATTAGTCATCAATAACAAACCGAATCCATTGAAGTGCACTTACATTTTTGCGTTGATAAACCACTAGCTATATCTAGACAAGAGTGTGTGATGAGAGTCCATACAATTGTAGTCATCACCACGGCCCTAATTTCTCATTCTTCTTTACCGTTTGCCTATTCATTAAACTACGTAAGTTTTATCTTTCTTTGATTTATTTGCCTTTGTATAGACAAGCAATCACAATGTAATTTAATCTTCCTATCTACAGAAAGTGCGGGGTTGACACAAATAAAGGACTAAAATCGATTTTTAGCAACAACAGAGAATTCCTTTATTCGAAGTGACATTACTGATGAACTTAAAAATATCTCAACTCACGTGAAGAACATACATTTAGAGCAACTGACGCGAATACGTTACACTTGGTTCAAATCACTTAAGAGATACTATTCACGACTTAATTATATACCCATCTTGTGATGAGTATTTAAGGAATTATATTCTGCTACGTGACTGATGAATTTCTGTATAATGTAGTAAACACATAAGATTTTAACCTCGAGAGTTTGGAATATTAACTATATTTATCAAAACTACAAAATGAGTATCTTTACGGTTAAGTGAATGACGATAAACAAGTAGATATATTTAGCGATAACCATTAGGAATAATGTTATAGTTGATATCAAGAAGTCAATGAAAAATGTATTTTAAGTCTAGCTTTTATGATGACTGCATGAAGATGTTATAAGTTAACTGACTTTTACAATCGAATTCTGTGAAGATTAAAATGCATGACTGAATAAGGAATCCAGGTGTTGGGACTGATAAAAAATTCTCTAGTGAATTTTTTTACGCTGCTCTAACTAAAGCCTATATAATATCATCATGTTGTCATGAATGGATAATAAACGTCAAATGCAATAATGATTAGAACATTTTTATTTTGCACGAGATCAATAAAAAAAAGATGAAAGGGGCGTGATCGCACAGCAAAATGGAACTTTCCAAAAACATCCCTGAACCACTTGGTGACAAATTACTTGTTATTTATCTCTAGACTATACTAGCATAATTAATATTAATTACTAGGAAGCATCAGATAAGCATAAGCATACATCAATTAGTTCATCAAATGATAAAGAACCTGAGTTACACTTAAAGATATTTTCTGTTTGGCAATTTATACAAGTCAAACCAATATTTATAAGACAGTACATATCGACAAAAGAAACGTATTAATTCCGTACACACCACATATAAATCACAAATATTATTGTTCATTAGAAAAACAACAAGTGTACACCAGGCGATTTGAGAACAATGCATTATCAACTGGATTGTTTACATCTGCATGCCGGCGCAATTTTAAACAAAGAACGATCAATACGATGAATGTTTGTTTCATAAACAGTGCAAGAAATAACTATATATAGATATTTAATTGTACAAGTTCCAATTGTCACTGATATTTTGTGATATACCAGCTTAGGTGAACAGTTACCATCAAGATGGTGGCAATACGCAGTAAAAATCATACATATACCAGTCCACTAATCAGACATAATCATCATTATGAAAAGAGGAAGCATTGTTATGTAATCTCTCCTAAAAGTTAATAAAGTAGGAATATATTGAATAAACCACCAGTATGAAGAAACTTTTAAATAAAGACAAAAAAAGGAACAGTAAAAATATTCTTTTCTGTAAAAAAAAAGATAATCATCATAGAAACAAATATTGACGAACAGATAATTTAATTAATCTTTAGAATAGTTAAACAAATAAGCAAATGATCCCATTATTAATTATCTATTTTAAAAGAACATTAAGAAATAAAAGTGAAGATGATAAAATATGACGAAAGTATGTTTGCATATATCATAGAAAAAAAAATTAACAGTAATAATAATATTGCGCAAAAATATTCAAACTTCTCTGACACAAATAGAAAAAGTAAATGTTCATTTAGATAAATGAAAATATAAAATATTGATAATGACAAAAAAAAACAAAGAATGTGAAAGTAGTTACGTTCATGAATACAATGAATATATACTCAACTTCTGATATATTATTAATAATTAAAGGTATATTTAGTATGCAAAATAAAGGAACCACAAATGTGTATACAAATATATGTGCGATGAAGTTTGGAATTAATAACAAACAAAAAATATATTTATAATATGATTAAAGGCCAAAAACACCAATAATAATCAACCACAACGTTAAACATATATGGTAAAACAAAAGGTAATTAAAAGAAAGAACAAAACGAAACCAGCAGAAAACCTATGTCACCTTTAGTACTTATAATGTGAGTGTACAAACTGATGAATGAATTTTATTGTAAAAAATATTTTTTTTGATTAGTCAAATCAAGTGATTATTCACTGTGTGATTTAATCCAAAGGTATGTTTAGTACTTTTGTGAACCTTGCACGTTTTCGGATGAATAAAAGCATGCTATGAATAGAAAAATAAACAAAACATTGATAAATCTTGATTACTATTATTTTATTTATTTCAACACATAGATATTGGTACAAGGAGGCACCAAATACATATGCGCCACATGAATCATTCGATTTGTGTGAGGTCCGTGATACTGCCCGGGTGCCCAGACCGAAGCAGGCGGTTTTCTTAGGGGACCACTCCCCGAGCCTTTAACCTAAAGGTCTGACCTACAAGGCAGTGGAGCATCGTGAGGAGATGCAGTCCCATGGTAGCCGGTGACCAACGATTGGTTCATACGCCATTTGTTCCTTCAGGATACTGGAGCCCATGTGCACCATTGGTTTGGAATCCCGTTAAAGCGCCGGACATTCGCTTTCCGTCCTCTCATTTTCGTAAACAACACCCCCGCCACGGGAAGGCAGTGAGTAGGACTTCCCTGGCAGAGGCTGTATACCCGTGGCCGTGTGAGAGTATTTCGAGAGGGAGGGAGGGCCCACCCCACTCTCGGCCATACCAGGGCATTTGGAGGAATATATTCAGGTAAAAATTTTAAAGAATTATGTTGCACACAGTTGTTGAAAAGACAATTAAAGAAAAACTTTCTACAAACAAATAGAAACAGATCAACGTTTCTCGAAAGAACTTTTTATTGTAAACATTCGTGAGCTCTATTTACTGCTTACTAGATGTTTACAAATACAGATAAAAATCTAAAAACAGGAAGACAACGACACACTGAATTAGACCTAAAGATTACAGTGCGAAAAAATGAGGAAGGATTTTGACGAATAAATTCCCGACATGAAAATGTCTTAGTATGTAAGTTACTCGTTCTATGACCAATTAAGACTAGATTGTTAGATATAGATTTTAGGCATAGTATCAGAATTTAACCTCTTTGCTTCATGCTTCATTTAAAAATGTATAAGTATTATTCAAACGTCAGCAATTATTCTTTTTATACTGTTCTAATAAGAAATAAGTACAAATTGATAAGTTCTCTGAAATCGAAAGCTCCATTCGCTAAAAAGGGCGTATACAAACAGATTTTAGAACGCTGCATTACTGGGTGAAAAACTACTATTTCTGCAATTCGGCCTTTGAGTTCCATAAAATTTCCGCATTTCGAAATTCTAATTTAAGTAGATGTACATGCACACAAATTAAGCTATTTGTCACATTACAATCTGATTAATTTATATTACACCAAGTTTGCAGACCATTTTTTCAAAATAACTGTATTAACGACAACACCTTTTAGTTACTTTTAAGTAAAACTATAACCGATCCGAGGAAATATATGACTACAGATAATTGATGCATATTCAACAGAGTTACACTTAAGTTATGACATCCTATCAAAGTAGTTTCGACACAAGATAAAAGATAACTATGATGTTTAGATTTAGTATAACTTTATGGATGTTAAATTAATTACTATATAACTGGAACTATTAACTGTGTTCTTTTTAGATAGTTCTTATGGATGGAGTTTGAAATATCCCAAGATAGTACTACACTTTGTGAATCTGACTGATAACAAAGCTATAGATCTGAACTGGACTTGTATCTGTGTACCATGAAGCGGGTTTCTCATTTACGATCAATGGAAATTAGTTCAGATCCATAAGTATAATACACAACAAACCAAATATATCCAATCAATAAATGATCAAAAACTCGACCAAACTTACGTAATTGCTCCCAACAGGAATGTAGTCGCATGGCTTAGTATATTTGGAATATGATCAAGCAACCAACCAATGAAACGCGATTTCATAAAAGCCGAGTTGCGTAGATACCACGAGCCGTTAATTAGAGATGAGCAATTGGGAGGACTGGATACGCTTTCTTTAGAATCATTTGTCTGACATGCCAGTGCAGTGTACCTTGAAAATTCGGAAAATACCAGTGACTGATGATCAATTCACGATTCAGTCAGTCAGTAACAACGTAGAACTTCGTACGTACGTACATCAGTTCGAGTTGCCACACCACATTAGCACAGAGATGCAGTGGTCAATTCAAATCCCGTAGTGGTAGAGGTAATAAGAGTATAAGCAGTAATCGGAAAGATTAGTGTTTGGAGATTTTACTTGAAGAGTATAATACAGTGAAATAAACTTGGGAAGAGAAAAAAAGAGACAAGGGGGAATCAGGAGATCAAAATTTGGGAGAACACAAAGAGTGAATGCACCTGCGCCATTGCAAACGATTTTGAGCCATGTCATTCAAGGTCCCCAACCAGGTAGTCTACACCTACTAACATGATTCAGTCCACTTGTCAGTGACTTCATGGACTTGTGCCATGTTTTGGTCTGGCCGCCCCTTGCTTTCTTCCAACCTACTCCTATACCACTGAACATCGCACGTCGAGGTAGTCGGTCGTTGGGCATACGTAACACGTGTCCCAGCCATCTCAACTGATGAAGTTTCACCACGTCATCAATTGATTTGCCATCCTTACCTAGTACCCGTTTCCTAACAACTGCATTACTTACTCGATGGTCCCAACATATACGAGCAATATTTCGAAGACACCTATGATCAAATACTAGTAGTCTACAAATATCCTCTACTCTTACCGGCCATGTTTCACTGCCATAAAGTAGTACAGAACGAACTGCTGCGCAGTAAACCCGTCCTTTGGTTGATAGACGGATGCCTCGCCTACGCCATAAATGACGCAAGTTGGTAAAAGCTAGTCGAGCCTTCTGTATCCGTGCTGAGATTTCGTCACACACCAGACCACAAGGGCTGATGAGACTTCCAAGATAAGTGAAGCGATCGACACGCTCAATTACTTCACTCCCTATCATTAGTTCGGGTGTCGATGCAACCCAATCCTGAAGCAACACTTTGCATTTCGAGGGAGAGAATCGCATCCCGAACATGCTTGCATTGTTGCTTAGAGTAGTCAGAAGGCCCTGCATTTTGTCAGCGTCTTCACCACATAAAACTATGTCATCAGCATATTCTAAGTCAACAAGCGAACCTCCCGGTAGAAGTTCAACCCCTGTAAATCTAGACGAGGAAAGTGTTATCTGTAAAAGTACGTCAATGACAAAGTTGAACAAGAATGGGGAGAGTGGACAGCCCTGACGAACACCAATTGAGGTAATCAATTCTGATGACAGTTCGCCATAAACTCTCACTCTACCAGTTGTGTTCGAGTAGAGAGCCTGAATAAGGTTAATGTACTTCTTTCAGTGACAAACACTGCCATAGAACCTTACGATCAACAGAGTCAAATGCCGCCTTAAGGTCGAGAAATACTACGATTGTGGGGCGTCTAAACGTGTGTCTGTGTTCTAGAACCTGACGTAGTGTGAATATCTGATCTATACAACCACGTCCAGGTCGAAAACCAGCCTGATTTTCTCTAGTCTGTTCTTCACGAGCTTTGATTAGGCGTCGAAGTATTATTGAAGCTAATATTTTAGACACTATATTAGTCAAACTGATTCCTCTGTGATTGTCACAAGAGGACTTTTGTCCTTTCTTAAAAACTGGCACAATCAGTGATTGAGACCAGTCAGATGGGATTACGTCCAGTTCCCAAATTCTACCTAAGAACTCAGTTAATCTCACTGCTAATACTGAACCACCATCCTTAAAAATCTCAGGAGTAAATCTGTCAGGGCCTGCTGCTCTCCCTCGCTTCAGATTTCCTATGGCTTTTTCAACTTCGTAAAGAGACGGAGGACCTACATTAACTTGCCACTCAGGTTGACTAGAGATCGTGGGAAATCGAAGTGTGGCTGGAGGCCAGTTGAACTGATCCCTGAAGTGTTCTGCCCATCGATCCAATCTCCTGGATTGAGAGTGTATAATATGTCCATCTTTCTCTGAGAGTGTTTCGCTAACAGTCGGTTTCCTAATACCGGTTTCCTTAACAAGTCTGAACAATTGTCTGCTATTACCTATTGCCGCTGCCTTTTCCATCTCTCTTGCTTTCGCTACCCACCACTGTTCACGATCATTGCGTAGACTTCTTGTCAGCTTGCGCTTAAGCTGACTCCGCTCTTCATTATGTTCAGAGCCAGGTGGAATGAGTTTCCGAGCATCTATCAGTGCGATTGATGTTGCTGAGATCCAGTGTCGTTCCCTAACCTTACGGGTTACCGTACTAGCAGATATCACTGCTGTTTCCACAGCTTTTCGGATATCATTCCATGCTGCCTCGGGGTGGGAATCACATACATGGCTGTCTAACTGTTTCCCTAGTTGTTCCTGAAATATACTCTTAGCTTGACTATCATTAAGTAGGACCCTAAAAGGTTTACTTGCAGCGTCTTTCCTACGTCCAGTAAGACGCAGACAGATACGCGCTCGTACTAGAGCATGATCTGAATCTATGCATGTGCTCCAGAATGAGCGAGTCTTCTATCGAGCCCCTCCATCGGTGGCTGATAGCGATGTGATCTATTTGGGTCCAACGCTGGGACGAATTAGGGGGTCGCCATGTTAAAAGATGTTTTTCTTTATGCTTAAAGTTAGTATTTGCAAGGAACAGGTGATTATCTGAGCATAGCTGCAACAGACGGTCACCATTATCTGTTCTTTGAGCCATGATGCTATAAGATCCACCCAGATGTCTTTCCCTATCGCTTAGTTTACCACCTACTTGAGCATTAAAGTCACCGGCCATTATTACTACATCTGAGCGCCTAGCTTTTCGGAGAAGGTCGGAGAGCTTTCACGATTATTAGCATACAACTCAATAACAACGAAGGAGTTGGATGTTAAGCGTACTTAATGTGTAGCAGTTAAGGATAAGGATTAGTTTAAAAGTGATCATTGAGTAAGATTCGAATTCCTCTTTTCTCAATCCGGAATCAAGTGCTAAGAACAATAAGTTAGTTCAGTAACTGAAAAGAACTTGTGATTATTAATTAGCAAACAAAAGGACATTGAAAACTAAGTTAATGAGAAAGCCAACTTTCAAAAGAGTATCTTATATTTTAATGACATTTTTTCTATCGATATTAAACAACATGTCTCAATAATACGCTTTTTGATATAAATATAATCAATTCAAATAATGTATACATTGAAAGCGTGATTGTGACGGAAATTTGGGTGTTTTCATCTATTTTTAAAAAATGAATAACAACGATCTAAAGAGTATCACTAGCAAATTTAATCACATGTAAACCTAGGCCTATATATTTATGAGCAACAGGATGAAACAGTAACGCATATTTGTGTGCATTCCTTATGTATGCATGTGGATCGATTACCTGTGCATACATTTACAAGAGGTATTATTGACATATCATTCCAAAGAAAAATAATAGTTCGTCGATCACAGAAAAATGTGTTGTAGTTAAGGAATTAATTGGGTTCACACATAAGCGTTAATCATTAGTAGTCACTAGTACATAAATAAAAATCACAATTTAATGACCATAGGTCAACATAATAGAATGACGACTTTCATATTTTATTCATATCTAGAATATGTATTAACTATAGCATCCAGAGCTGATGGAAACATAGTCTCTACTTGATTCCAACACAACGTTAGGTCGTAAATTTTAATTACATTTAAGGTTGGATGACTAGAATGTGACAATCACAAAGATAAACAGTGAAAAACAATCTAAAATGTCGTAGGTTATATATAACATTAAATGGTACTAAATGCATCAATGGACTGCAAATACGGCCGTTTATCAAGAGACATTTAACAGCGATGACACAGTGTAGACTAAAAAATAGTCTTGGTTGACTTAACACAAACCAATGTCTTTGGCTACGCCAAATTCTACTTACAAAAATACGGATTGGTTAATTATTTTATGAATGACAAACATCACGTAAACAGTATGTAAGAAGTTGATTCCTTCCTAGCTTTATAAGGTGGGATAAAACGTTAAAACTACGGAATATATTGACTTACGCTCCAATTTCAGGTCGACTAGCCCATTCTCCAGAGCTTGTAACTGGAAAGTCTGTTGGAAAACTCGCAGCGGGGAATTTGGCCATACTTATATTTTGATAAGTAGAGTGAGATTGTTCAGATGTATCACCACTGTGAAGTTCGTCGTGTGATAATGGGCTAGGCAGAGAACCATCGCTTGCCCTGTCTGAATGTTCTTGGGCTTCTGAGAGGAAGAGACTTAGTAATCTTTCTTCAACTATGGTATGGAGACCCCCAGGTTCCTGAGAACCTAGTGTCTGTGAATTAATACTGAGAACATGGATACCTGAATAACTAGAACCATTTTGGTTGTAACCCAAACTTTGTGGAGTGACTTCTATCCAGGAATCTATCCATAACACAGACAAATACATATTTAACATTATTTATAATTATTACTGAGTGAAATTTATGAAAAAGACTGGATTTTCTTGACACTTTCAATGTATCAGTAAAGAGAATTAATTAGGGTAAAAATCTATAAAGACAGCATTGATCTTGTTAGTATTTACACATCGATAAGCAGTAACGATTTTTGCGAAAGCAAACTAAAATATAATCACTGACTATCTACTTACTAACTATATCTCAGTAAGACTAGAGTACTGTGAAAAAGTTTGGATTGTTTATTCCGTCAATGCAAGTGAATTTTGTAAGAAAAAAAATAAAAATAGACATCCAAAGTTAGGATAGGCTTTTATTAACTCATGTTCAACCATACTTTCCAATCTAATTTAAAATGATACCTTGAATTGTTTCGTGACCAGGAATACGAAATAAATTTGATTATTTACTATTGACTCATTGCACTAAAAAATTAATGGGGTAACACACCAGGCACCTGGGTATAAGCTACAATCTAAGTGTGAGGGCTAATGATACTACCCGGTTTCCCAAACCGAAGTAGGTGAGGAAAAGTTTAAACTTCGGACTTAGTAGCTGAACTCCAAAAGCTTTAACTACTAAGCAACCGCCTAATAAGCATATAAATTATGAAAGAGGATGTTTTGAATTTCATTTCACTTTGTAATAAGATATAGTGGGGTTGAAGAAAGATCATAAACCTTAGTTTCAAATTTATTCGTCTACATGATGCATCAGTTATTTCGACGAGGAACAATAGATGCGGCTACGATATTACAATCTTACATCTGTGAAACAAATATGGATTAGTTCAGGTTACTGATCTTTATTACACTGGTACAACAAAGTAATGGGAATTCATTTATTCTGGAAGTTCACTTCAATAGTTGAGTGATTATAGCCTCACTGACTTAACGTGACGATGGTTTTCACAAAAAAACGGACCCAATAGGGTTCCTTATTTGACAGATTGATTGTAAACAACTCATGCACACAACCAACCAGAAACCTAAATAGCTTCATTCCTATTTATTCATAGTACACATAAGTTCTGGTACAATAGGTCACAAAAAACATGTCACACCATTTAAGTAATGACTTTGTGAAGGGTCATAAAACCGATGAACAAACAAAAATAATACTGATTACCAGATTCAGCACAGTCAAAAAACAGCCAGGACTATTTTGTTAACTTTATCGCACTTCTACGAAGAAATTCGTTAGAGCAACCCTTCGGAAACAATGATGCAAAAACCGAGTTGTGGAACATTCTTGACAAATAACCCACAAAAAAACTGACTACTACGATGAGTTGTATATTCAGTTAGCACCATGAAGGTGCAGAAAAAAATAGAAGTCGGCATAAACCACTTTGGCTTTTTCTATAAGTAGATTGGTTTTGTCTGCAACGCAATCACCGGCACTCAAACTACCCGAGTACAACTCCGGTTATTTATGCAAATCGCGGCTCACCAAAAACAAAAAGTTCAGACGGGCTCCTGAAATCTTAAGGAAGTACCTTAAAAGCACCAAATACTGGTTGAATGTATCAAGTTTGGATAGTCTATATATCACCTCACAGTAGGACAAGGTTACCTAATTATTTGAGATTGATAATTCCTTCTCCAGGTAACATCACATGATTTCGCCAATGCTTCCAGAATGCCATCAAAAACAGCCGGTGTGATAAGACTAGAAAGCCCTGGTTACGAGGATTAGTAGCTAATAAAAGAACTTGAATTACCAGTTGCCAGGGTGAGGTCAATCCATTGCCCCATAAACTAAACTTATAAATTAGTTGTCTAAGTAGTTTGGAGCATCATTTCCAGCGCAAAACTATGACAATCCAAGAGATGGATAACTTGATTCAGCAATATCTAATTACGAAGCATAAATACATTATTATGAATGAACACATTTCACACCCTTATAGTCGATTACTACCTTTCTCATTATGATTTTCCTTATTACTCATGAATTTTTTTAGGAAGCTATGTTAACTGTAAACAGCTTACAGTTGTTAAGTAGCTCCTCAATATGTAAGATGAATAAACTACTGTCATTAAAGTGAATTCCGAGATAAATATGTTTCGATGCAGGTTGTTTTACTTTACCACACACAAATTTATTTTATTTTATTTAAAAATAAACCACACATAAAACTAACAAAGCAAAAGACAGGGGGATATAATGCTTACCAATGAATACGAAAACAGATACACAGAACAGAATTCAATGGTCTAGGATGGTCAGTCAGTTGGTTGATCATTGCACTCGCCCTTTAATTAAAAGACATATCTTACCTGACCTAAAATGGGTGAGTTCGACTAGGCAAGCCGAACTGCCTGAAACCATCATCGGAATTTGTGGCGAGACTAAACAAATGAGACTGAAGAGAGCAAATCTTGGGGTGAATTTCACTCATCCATATGGCCAAATAGCATTTCGACATTAACGACGATGGCGCTTTGTGATGAAAACTCCAGCTCCAATCCCTAACCATGACTTCGAACTCTCAATCCCAGCCTTGATTCCCCATACTAGACTATAACTCTCTATTGACTCTAGTAGAGTGAATTTTGTTAAGATCAACTTAGCATCGATTAAAGGTCGTCTATGAGTTGCAGACTCATATAATTCATCAAACATAAACCTGCTAGGTTTGATGAGAGTAATCAGTGAGTTTCACTATGGCAAAACGCACTCCCTGTTTAAAAGTTTGTGAATTAATGTTGAAGAATACAATTTATTACGCTCATCTAACAAGTCACATCGTAAACTGGATGGATATGAAATAACGTAATTCAGACACAACTAACACTGAAAATTTTGTTACTTATTGTCACTAATAACTTTTAGAAATAAATCCCTGTTAAACCAAAATTATTGACATAGAAAGAGATCTAGACCATAAGAACCTACCGCCTAGATCATGCGAGTCCGAGGGAACCATTAGGACCCAGATTCCAGACGCCCCGCCGAAAATGGTGTCAAGGTCTTTTGTATACGTTTCAAATTCAAACGTTGCGGGCAGAATAAGATAATCGTTTGTTTTCTGACACCTGCATCTTGATATTAAGACAACTATCTTGATTTCAAAAAGATTGTGATGTCTTACAGCATGAGTCGTTTTGCCAGTGGTCCATAAATTCCGCTAGTCACTTAAAATATACTTTCGTTGTTCTCTGGCTCACCATGTCATGTCTTGTTTTAATTAACCGTCACACTTAAGTGCTAGCCGCAATAGCTATACTCTTGATAACTTCTGATTGATTCAGTGATGACCTCTGCGGAGTGGAAATCGTATGTTCTATTTGTTTATGAAGAATACTGCTGCTGAAAACTTAGACCACTCATCTTTTCGGGTGAATTGACGAGTGTCATTTTGTCGAATTATTGAATTTTCGTACAGTTGTCATATTGTCGCTAACTGTTTTTCTTATTCAAAACAAATTGAACGCATTTTTCCATATTTTTAGTACCTTTCAACTGTATATGCCTGGTTTGAGACCATTCAAATGTTGTAAATTCGTACTTTTCATGCGTCTCTTTATTTTATCAAGTAACGCATGGTTACCGAGCTGTTGTGTTTCTGCTTTTTCAGGTTGGTGGGTTCTTAACTTTTGATACAAAGTTACGAGGGTTATCAACGCTATAATTTTGTCCTTCACTATATATATAATGTTTTTTTGTGTGTTCTTACTGAGATTTCACCTATATAAGACTTCGTTTTTAACTATTACTATATTATGATTGAGACCTCCGTTTGGGTCACCGTGAAACTGGTAAGCAGTTTAATATTCATAAAATCAAAAGAAAGACTTCGAACAGTGCAATTACCAAACATCTCTTTGATACTGGACATCAGGTTGATAGCTTGCAATCGTTCAAGGTGAATTGTGTGCTCAAAAGAAGATGGTTATTAATCTTTCCTTGAGTTGGTGAATAGTACTCTTATGTTATCAACTAAGTTCTATTCATTTTATTCCTATCAACGTTTGCTCGTTATGTAATCACTTGTTTCTGGCTGTTTGAACTATCGTCACTGTATGGCCAGCAAAATATCACTAAGCCCTAGCCAAATCATCCGGCAGTTGGGTCATTGATTATCGAACAAATCATCGATCCTCGTCAAGGTAAAAGACAACCTACGCTCATCAGTTAATCGTAGGCCACGAACTGGTTCATGCGGCAGTGGTCTTATTCTCGTTTGTATCTACTTTAATATATTTCTGTAATAACGTCCTCTGTACCGTACAGTCTTCAAAGCATCTACCTTGATACGTCAATGGGATAGTCCACGTATGGTGCTGAACACGATTTGTGACTTCGACGTTAGCTAGTTTGTCACACCATTCACATCTAACTCGAGTAGGCCTCCAGTCATTTTGACATGGATCATCTACGTTGGTTATCGACATCACGTTCAATGTTGTAGTATGCTCTTTTACATCAAGTACATTTATAATATTCGGTCTATTAAATTTATTTATACCTTTGCCATACCACAATAACATGTCTTCAATATAACGTCTGATCAAACCCTTTCACGTAAGTAATTGAAACCCATTACGTAATCATGATTTTTTTAACGTCACATAATGTAGGTAGCTGTAGAAAACCAAATAAATAACATGAATTCGTGCTATTCTTCTAGAATCTTTGTTCTTGCTTTTTAAATCAAGTCATTTATACCTGCGATTTGGCTCATCATTTTAAGTCGTGATTTACCAGAATTATATACCCGAACACATGTCGATGCTTATAGTTGGTGAATTCAAGGAGATACTGGTCGTTCACTATACTTTCATAGGTTTCCCTTACTACCGAGAAACATTATTTCAGTCTATAAAAGACAATTATGACAAAAAGTAATCCATTCATATCTTTATAAAAGTAATGATAATAATTAACGAGTAGTTATGGTTTACGTGCTATTAGTGCATGCAAACACTATTTGTTCCTAATTACATTTAAGTGAATAAATTATATAAAAATCCTTAGTTCTTATGAGTTTCTTCCATTATTACGCTCATTTATCTATTCTCGGCTTGTTTTACTTAACCTGTCTAAATACACATGCTTAACTATTCATTCAGTAGAAAGAAAATGCATCTGAAAAAATCATACCTTAATTTTTCCGTCATAAATGACTCGAATCCACCAGTCATAAACATCCCCTATTCTGTGTTTCGCTGTTTTCTTTTTCCCCTGTTTTTCCGCATCATCGTGATATACTATCAAAAACACAAATGGAAAAGTTAACTTCATCACATAGCTTAATTAATACTATCGATATTACGGAAGGCTTCACAATTACTTGCACTAGAAACATGTCGAATTCGTTATCCGGAGAATATATAGAATTATGGTATACTATGATTTTAGTACTGCTCTAATAATAGACCTAATCCTAAGATTGTAGATTTGTCATGATATAACTGCCTAATCTATAAGATCTTACGTGAAAGTCACACCATCGACTACACTAACTCACTGTATCGTATCAATTACTAATACATGATGTAGAACAAGGTTAGGCTAGAGAAGGAACAATATAATAATAATAATAATAATAATTTATTCTCAAATAACAGATTGTTACATGAGGCATGCCAGTTTACAGGCAAGATCAAATTGATACAAATGATACAATATACACTGTAATAAATTACATAGCTGGGTTGATAATTTATAAGATATGAATGTCGATGGTTTGAATCAGTACCACGGTTGGCGCGCTTCATGAAAGTTGGGTTGCGAATGTGCGACTGATGGTCAAGGATAGGTCCATTGAAGGTATGAGCTTTTAGGAATCGCAACCTTATTTCCTTCTGGGATATCCAAGGCTTTAAGGATGGTGCAGGATGAAGTCACCAGTTCCATATCTCAAAGGGGCTGAAAGAGGGAGCAAGTAAAAGAAAACACGAGAGGCAGAGTAGCCAATATTCATGAAGGAATGTTTAAGGTATGATTACTCAGTCTAATTTTCCTTTATTAAGGTATATGTTAAGAAAGAGCATTTTAATAGGTTAAAGAAAATAAGTGTTGTCAAGGTGTGAGTGGACATACAACTGACAAATGGGGGCGATTCGGAAAAGAGCTGAGAGTATAAGATTATGTGTGATTATAAAATAAAATATAGTGCTAGAAACAGTATTGTGATATACATTTGGCTGTCTTCCCTTTAATATCGAAGCTATTAGAGCCCCTTTCGTTTTTTAAAATATTTTTTCCCCAGTTATTATAGGGTCTTGATTAGGCTTCGTATATTAGCGAATTGTCTAGTTTGCTTGTAATAGGATTTATGGGTAGGAAGTGAAACCAATTCAACGTTCGTAACACGACTTAAAGAGGTATTTTGCGTGAATAGATCAGCTTCAACACCATAAGTTCGTGACATCCCACTAAACCATAAGGAGCCGTAAATAAACAAAATGTTCTGCCCTACAGACATAAGTGGATTGAAGTTATCTCTCCACCTTCATGTTTGCTGGTCAGTAACTCCATCTTCCCTCCTTTTGTGACGTTAGGCTCTCTTACGTTTGTGTTAAGAATACTGCTTTAATCAAAGCCCATAGTTGGAATACACTGTCTCTATTAGGTCCATGGTACAAGCAAATCAGATAGTTGAAAAGTCTTTTAAGGGTTAGATGTCCATATAGTATATCACACTGCTATGAAGATAACTAATGGTTTAAAGAAGTAAGGACTAATAGCAAATCAAAAGATATGAGAGGGTATAAAATCGTAGAAAAAAAAATTTCAGAGTAAGACAAATAAAACAATATATTTAATATGAATAGAAGATATAAGGTAACATTCAGATGGACCACGCCAGCATGGCCGAGCCATGCCATCCGATCAATTCCAATCCATTCAATTCCTTGTTTGTGCCTTCTTCATCGTTAGGTATTTCTTCGCGTTAAATATTGAATATCTATTTTCCGAGTAATCTCGTATTCAGCTTTGAGGATTGTGTGGTTATGGTCCAATGCCACTACAAGTACTACCAAGAAGTGTCAAATAATATATTATAGTTTGTGTTTTTAATTGAATAATTATGATTTACTTCTCATTTTAAACAACCATGGACCTTACTTGCGTTGATTCTGTACTACCGTTTGTTTGTCGTAACTCCATTTCCATGAAGCGCTTCAGCCTTAAAATTTATTTTCATATTTTGCTAAGATTATTGATACTCTTATGTACACAAATGTATTTCTGTTCCTATGATTAGCTTGTCTCGTGACGCATCAACCTTACTGAGTAAATTATTACAGTAAATCTTGGAGGGTTTTTAACAGTTTGGTCTTAACTGCAGGTTTGTATGTAACGTATAACAGGTTATTATTCTAGAACAATTTATTACTGCTCCCTTCCAAAGAACATTTCGTATTACTAATATTTTGTTGAAACCTATGGGATTCTGCACGTGACAAGTTATGATCATACACCGGCTTATTATCAGGCTATACAAATGTTTTAAAGGTGTCTAATAGAGCAGTTTCGGATAATACCCAGGTTTTTTTCAACGGTTGAAGGTATGATACTCCAGTTTCTTAGAGAATGAAGGGACAATCTACTACCAGAATCTTGCACTTACCGGTATCAAAAGGAAGCAAGTTAGCGGCTAATATTTGTGTACTTTATAGCACATAATGAGTTAGACCATAAGACTCAAAACCAAATATGTGATCTCTCCGATTAGCTAAAGGATGAATATAGCCGTTCTATGATGTCTTGTATGCTTTGAAGACAGTTTGAGAAGTTATTAGGTAATATTTTTTTCGTGGCGTCTATACGTTTAAAAAATTTATTTATTCCTAAGTACACAATCAATGAAGCTGAAGATATGATAACAGGGATGACTCATATTCAAAATTTAACACCAAGAGGTAAGAGATGATGAACACGGGAACAACTAATCGAAATGACATTGCTCGGCCATGCTTTTTGTCGTAACTATGCTTCTGTCCTCCTAAA